TTCCAGCCCTTGGCTGCCCAGGATACAGGCTTTCTCTCCTTCTGCACATGGAATTCTTACAGACGCCTCTGCCTGTTAAGATCCACCTCTTCCAAACACAACCCCAAAGGCACCCTTCTCTTCCGAATGCGCGAGAATCCAAAGTCAAACCCGGTGGTCATAGCCAGCGTGTCCAAGGTTCTGGGGTGGAGACACGGGAAGCAGTTGTAATAAAAACTCCCGCTTACCCTTCTCACGGTTCATTGGACCTCTGCTTTCATGTTGCCTGCTGAGAGGCCTCCCCGCTCACCCGTCGAAATGACCACCCCTTCTCCTCCCTCCCTCATACAGTTGGCGTGGAGTAGACTCCAACTCATGGCGACCCCATGTGTATCAGAGTAGAACTGTGTTCCATAGGGTTTTCAGTGGCTGAGTTTTGGAAGTAGATCACCAGGCCTTTCTTCCAAGGCACCTCTGGGTAGACTCAAACCTCCTTGGGTTAGCAGCCGAGTGTGTTCACTGTTCATCCCACCCGTGGACTCCTTACCTTGCCTCATTTCGATTCATGGCTCCTACCTGCCCCTGTGGGGCCTTACGTTAATGTACGTTTGTTTACGTCTCAGCGTCTGTCTGCTGTGCTGGATTGAAAACCCCCCGAGTGCAGGCTTGGTGTTTAGTTCACTGCTCAACCTCCAGGGACCACCGTGGTGTGCGGTGAACGTTGGCGAAGTGAATGAGTGAATGAATGAATGAATGAACCATGGAAGCAGAGTGAGCTGCTCGGCGGGCATCGGGCGCTGCTGGTTCCATCTGCTGGGAGAATGTCCATTGTCCAGGGTTCACTGGACCCGCCCTGGAGAGAGGCGTTGCTGAGGCTCGCGTGGTGGGGTGTAGAGCGGGCCAGGGCACGGAGTGGGCCGGGGAGGGGCCTTCTCTTGGGGCCAGAGCCTGAAACACTGCACCAAGGGGTCTCGTGCACTCTCATCTGAGATGCACCCTCCTTCCCACTGCAGGAGACTGTCCCCTTTGGGGATGCTGTGCTGGCCACCTGGGACACCTGCATCGGGAGCGAGATCTGTGAGGAGCTCTGGACACCCCACAGGTCAGCCCTGCTGTCTCTCCGGCCACCTTGTCCTCGCCCGGCCACCCCACCCTCGCCTGGCCACCCCGTCCTCGCCCAGCCACCCCGTCCTCACTCAGGCACCCTGTCCTCGCCTAGCCACCCTGTCCTAAGGCACCCCGTCCTCGCCCAGCCACCCCGTTCTCACCCGGCCACCCTGTCCTGACCTGGCCCCTGCAGGCAGTGGGATTTGGAAATGACTGGATGTGGCCTTGGTGACCCTGAGGGGCTGGGGGTGGGCGGGCGGGGAAAGCACAGTGGTCCCCCGTCTTCCTTGCCCCCGCTCACAGCCCGCACGTCGCCATGGGCCTGGACGGTGTGGAGATCTTCACCAACGCCTCGGGCAGCCACCACGTGCTGCGCAAAGCCCATGCCAGGGTGGACCTGGTGTCCATGGCCACCACCAAGGTAGGTGGGGGGTGGGGGTGGGGGCGTGTGCACCCAGGGGTGGGCGCTGTGTCCGTCCCACGCAGCTCGTGCCTGGAACAGAGTTGGCCGTGGTAGGGATTCTGGGCTGGTGCTTATGGCTGGTGTTACGGATTGAATTGTGTACTCGAAAATGTCTGTTGGAATCCTGATGGCTGTACATGGGGCTGTAGTCCCGTTTGGAAACAGAGTTTTTTGTGTTACGCTGATGAGGCCATATCAGCATAGGGTGTGTCTTAAACCCATCGCTTCTAGATGTAATAGGAGCAGATTAGGCACAGAAGCAAGTGAGCGCAAACACGGGAAGGTGCACACCTCGTGGAGGTCACCAAGACACAGGAAGGGAAGCAGAAAAGAGACAGGGACCTTCCCCAGAGCGGCAGAGGGAGCCTTCCCCCAGAGCTGGCACCCTGTGTTCGGACTTCTAGCCTCCTGAACTGTGAGAACATACATTTCTGTTTTTTAAAGCCACCCATTGGTGGTATTTCTGTTATAGCAGCACTAAGAAGCGAAGACAGCTGGTGCTCAGCAAGCGCGTGTCAGCGCCTCCTCTGACCACTGACCGCCTAGTCCTCACAGCCCCCCAGGAGGCAGGGGCTCTCCTCGTCCCCCTCTAGAGCAGGAGAC